AACTAATGTTCTGATGTAGCAATTGTAACACCGTCTTACACAGTTCCTTTGTAACATTTGACAACGAAAAATTCTTGTCCACTTACCGAGTCTCCTCGAAAAGAAACCGCCGAAACAGTCTCATGTACCCCCGAAATTCTGGCGGCCGCTGTTTACATTCTTGGAACACCTCGTTTGACATTTTAGTCAGTCGCTGGAGTTGCCCAAACTTGTGTGCAGTGTCGACGGAAGATATAGCTGCTTGTATGACTGAAATCCATCCTCCAAAATTGCACACAATCCAACAAAATGGAAAAAAACTGAGATCGACTGAGCACTGTGTTCCCCCAGCCAGCCCGGTCTCAGACGGTTAGAACCGTTAAATCTAGCGCCTTCAAACTTGGCGCATGTGCGTTAGAGGCCTAAAACCCCGTGGGAAACATCGTGAAGCACGTCAGTGCCGGTGTCAATTAATTAATAAACGCCCGTTTCCATGCCGGACGGTTCAGGACGGGCTGGGAGCGACGGGGTGCCGTCACTAATTTCTGGAACGGCCGTCCGGCGGGAGTTTGTGGACGCTGCCAACTGTGTTGGGACGGTCAGGACGCCGTTTCCCGCTAAGGACGGGCAGGGACGGCGTCGGACGGGCGTTTCTCCGTCGGGGACGCTTTCATTTTTACAGAGGTGGATAAGGTGTGTCGGCAGGTATACAGTAATGGATATTGTGCACAGTGAGGGTGATATTGTCCGTTTGGCTTTGGTAGGCTCCCGGTTTATATCCTTGCTATTATACATTCAGAGTCAAATGGCATGTTACAGGTCTCGCAATGCAACATAAAATCTGTTGAAAGTTACAGTCACTGTGAAATAATTGTCAAGTTATACAGTTTGTATATAACACACTGCAAGAAAAACAATCACTTGCATATTAGCCCTTGTCCTTCTGGCATTCCTAGCACAATATTTCTCAATAATTTCATGTCTTAATTAGATCATAGACCTCCAATTTTTTTTGCCCTGCAGTGGCATAGTTACTTCCGCATTCGTTGCGTTTTGCTGCGGTGTGATGCGTTGCACGAGAAATACCCCCAAATTGTACCTATACAGGGTGTTATATAGATGTTACTGTATGTGCAGAACAACAATTGTTGTGCTCAGCAGGACAAGGGTTAAGAGTGAAAAAACAGGTTAAAATCCATTAAAACGGTTAATCAACATTGTCATTATTAACATTTAATCAAGTTCCTGCGTGGATGGTTGTCTGGTTTGTCTCCACTAATTAATGCCCAGATTTAGGCTCGTTAGTGCGAGGTTGGATAATTGACTGATTGATGTGCAGAACGGCAGACGCTGATGTCATACAGACAAACTCCCGAGTCAGCAGCTTGGCGTGCTGACAGCCATGGGGGCATTAAATATTCATGGCAAGTTCATGGTTAACATCATAACAACATTCCTGCAGCTCCAAATCAAGTTCATGGTCAACAACATTCCTGCAACTCCAAATCAAGTTCATGGTCAACAACATTCCTGCAGCTCTAAATCAAGTTCATGGTCAACAACATTCCTGCAACTCCAAATCAAGTTCATGGACAACAACATTCCTGCAGCTCTAAATCAAGTTCATGGACAACAACATTCCTGCAGCTCTAAATCAAGTTCATGGACAACAACATTCCTGCAGCTCCAAATGCTCCAACTTACCATTAATTTTTCAAATTTGAAAAACAACAAAAAATAAAGGAATTTCTATCGGCCTCTTTAAAACTTCTGATCAATATAGTATTACTGACAGCCCAGAATGGGTTTTGTAGAGACAACAACATGCTGACAGGCACACATCCTGGTAGGTTTTTTAATGAAATATCAATTAATCAATAACCAGTATTGATTTATATGATGTGCTGCAGAACGTTTTGTGGTGATCTATGATGTTGTGTGATCCCGTTGTTGACATTGAACCTGGAGACTAAAGTTCTTCTCTCCTGCTGTGAACTACCAGTGGTTCAAGCTCAAGTTCATGTCTCCCAATCAGCCCAGTTTGTAATGCAGATTGGTGGATACAAATGTTCTGGGGTTCAACACAGTAGAGGAGTTCTATATATACTCACTCACTGTGGCTTGTCGTACCCAGAACCGTGCGTATCTAGTTCTTATATATATGATGCCTGAATGGGTTAGGGTTATGCTCATGCTCAGGCACAGTTCTGAAAGTCTCCACGTACATGTATCCAAGAACGTAGATTTGTGCCAGGCACAGTTCTGCCTATGCATGGACTATCCTGAACCATGTTCTGAAGGAAGCATGGTTCTGGATAGCATGATTCTGGATGAAGCCTGGTTCTGGATAAAGCATTATAGTTCTGGCCATGGATAAAGCATGGTTCTGGATGAAGCACGGTACTGGATATCGATACAGCAAGGCTGTTGTGGTTCTGATATCTGCCAGCGTTGCCAGCCCTTAACAACCTGTACTGTACATGTGGGACTGAGAGGGCTGTCAACTGTTTCTGATTGGTTAAGCCAGTGGTCATGTGACCTGTCTGAACAAGTGCCCGCATCCTGTAAATGTCAGGTGGAGGTCGTTGGGCGTCACGGCGATCAATACATCAGGGCTCTTTGCAAAACTTCCACCTCCACTCTAACAGACATTCTTTTGTCAGGCAACACCCATTCATTTTCTTGGACATTTGGAAGTAAAATTTGCGCAAAAGCAAAATGGAAACAGGTACAGTCTGGGCAAGGAGGAAAAGTTAAAACTGATACTTTTACTAAATTCAACTGGATGTACATTATATTTGTGTACAGTTCAGACTTTCCAATATTATTAAGTAGACTGTGTTTTTTGTTGATCTTTTTTCCATTGTCACTTGTTCTTTGCTGAGTGACCACCAGCAACACCTGTAGAAGTAGTGTGTGTTGAACTAACTTCTGACAAGGCCCCTTAAGTACCCATAACAGTTTTGGCAAGCTGCACGTTTAGTCCACGTGACTCATTGAGAGAAGTCTGTGATCAAACACAGTCCTGGCTTTCAGTCTGTTTTGTCTGCATTGTGGCTCTATTTCATATAGCTCACTCCCAAACTCTGATGTACTCCTATAGATGCCACACTACATGACATTGTATAATTATTGAATATATGTATAACAAACTCTGACATTATTGTAACTGCCAAATGTTGCCCCTACAGCTGGTGTACCCCCCCCCCCACACACACACACTGTGTTTGATCTGATCAATACCATAATCAATACCCCTTGTGTTGCTCTGCCGGGTGAAAGTGCAGCTTATCTGCCATGTTTGTTTAGTGTTTGCCGTGAGTTAAACTGTAACAGCCCGACGGCAGGTTATTTGCCGGCCGTTTGATATATTGGAATTTGCCGAGTGGCTTCAGCCTGTTTCTGAGGCAAACTTCAAGTGTACAGGTGGACTGTTCCATTGCCAGGCAGGGGTGTAAATACCAGTAGATTTGCCTTGAATACGTGGCTAGGGGAAGGGCCGTACCACTGATGTTCCCAGAGCGGGGGTGAGCCCGGCTTACTGCTGAAGGTCACCTTTGGATCCATCATGGCTGCCCCTGACAGTGGGGAGGGGGGACAAGGTCGGTCAGGGTCATCACTTCCAAATCTCTCCTTCTCTCTCTGTGTCTCTCTATCTGTCTTTGTCTCTCTCTCTCTCTCTTTCTCACACACACACCCTCTTTCTGTATGTCTCTCTCCCTCCCTCTCTCTCTCACTCTCTTCAGAGTTCTGTTGTTACTTTAAAGAGTTTTTACAGTGAGATATCTGTTAAGGCACTGAATCCAAACTACTGTAGATCATACATGGCAAACAGTACCGGTAGTGGCAAATCTTTACTTGTATACAAGATAATACTATTAACAGTTATATATATTGCTAATCAAAACTGGTAGAGGCAAGTGTTAAACCTGTTTTAGTTGCTGAGACTCTTTTGTCCTCTTTACATTAACAACTCAGGCTAGCAAGTCTTTACTGTGAAATTAGCCTTTTATGATCAGAAGATGACACGATAGTCATGGCTGACCATTTATGGTAATAGCCTGGGGCCAGTTTAGCAGCCATTAACTGATAAATGTATGAGTCAATAATTAGCTGGCCATTTCTGCTGATCCCTTCTTTGATATATCTGCATTGTTTTCTCTTTTACTGCAGGGTCTTCAATAGATTATTTATTTAGCTTTAACAATATTTCTTCAGTAAAATATGAAAAGTTATGATGAAATGTTGTTGGATATGATAATCTTCTACTACATGTGTGTTAAACATTACCCCCAAGGGTAATTATGCTAGTTTCAGATACAGAAACTTGTGATTGTGATGCTGAAGGGCAGTTATACTGGCCATTACATTTTTACAAAAACTGGTGCTGAACTATTAAATGTATTATTCTGTAGTCGCAAGGTCTGAAATGTGGGTTGTGTTATTTGATTTGCTGTGTACACATGTTTGTACATGTCGCATACTGAGAAAGCTAAGCAGGATATTGACACATCACATATTGTGCAAACAGTCCTTTCCTCTGTGATCTTAGCTTGAAGTGCCGTTGGCACCCTGTGCAGTATACGTGTCTGCGGGGAAAAACCTGAGCTAATAACTTGCACAACTTGAACATGAAGGCAAATACATCAATTTTCCCACCTGTTTCTGCCAGTTAAAATGAAACCATTTGTCAATAAAAAATATGGTTACTGGAGTGTCCGGTGTGCAAGCGTATATCAATTGTGGACTAAAATGGCCTGATCTAGCTGTTATTAGCCTTGTGTTTTTGTGTGTTTCTGACTAGTCTAATGTTTATTTACTTATCCCCTACAGATGAGGTAATGGACCAGCTTGGCTGTGTGTTTGTTGTGTTTATGACAGGACTATAAATGTTTATTAATTTGTTTATTTCTCACAGATGAGGTGATGGACCAGCATGGCCTATCTTGCTGTGACATTGCCTGTCTGTTTGTTTGTTTGTTGTGTTTCTGACTGTTTATTTATTTGTTTATCCCCTGCAGATGAGGTGATGGACCAGCATGGTCAGGCTCTCAGGGTTGTGGACATCGCAGAACAGCTGCAGGCAAGATTCGCCTACCTCACAGGTACGTCTTACACCTGGGACAGGTGAGCCTACCTCACAGGTACGTCTTACACCTGTGAGCTTCTAATTACACCTGCTACAGGTGAGCCTACCTGACAGGTGTGAGTGTGTGTGTCTGTGTGTGTGTGCAGGTGTAGTTAGTTACCTGTGTGTTACCTGTACAGGTGGGAAGGGTAGAAACGGAGCCCCCATCATCACCCTGCCGGAGTACCCCAGGTTCCTGTACCTGTGTGTTACCTGTGTGTTACCTGTGTGTTACCTGTGTGTTACCTGTGTGTTACCTGTACAGGTGGTAAGGGCAGGAATGGAGCCCCCATCATCACCCTGCCAGAGTACCCCAGGTTCCTGTACCTGTGTGTTACCTGTGTGTTACCTGTGTGTTACCTGTGTGTATGTACAGGTGTAGTTAGTGTTACCTGTGTTACCTGTACAGGTGGGAAGGGTAGAAACGGAGCCCCCATCATCACCCTGCCAGAGTACCCGAGGTTCCTGTACCTGTGTGTTACCTGTGTGTGTGTGCAGATGTAGTTATTGTTACCTGTATGTTTGTACAGGTGGGAAGGGTAGAAACGGAGCCCCCATCATCACCCTGCCAGAGTACCCCAGCTTCCTGTACCTGTGTGTTACCTGTTTGTGTGTGTGCAGATGTAGTTATTGTTACCTGACTGTACCTGTATGTTTGTACAGGTGGGAAGGGCAGGAACGGGGCCCCCATCATCACCCTGCCAGAGTACCCGAGGTTCCAGGAGATCCAGGACCAGGACTTCCTGAGCGTCATGACGTACCTGACCAGCATCCCGAGCGCGGAGGAGGCTGAGCTGGGGTACGTCATCGTGGTGGACAGGAGACAGGACAGATGGGCAGCGGTGAAGGCTACACTCATCAGGATAGCTGTGAGAAACTTCTTACTATCTTATACTTACTGCTATATACATCAGGATAGCTGTGAGAAACTAGCTGTGCAGGTGTAGTTAGTGTTATCAGACAGGAGACAGGACAGATGGGCGGCGGTGAAGGCTACACTCATCAGGATAGCTGTAAGTTAAACTGCTCTTACTGTACTATACATCAGGATAGCTGTGAGTTAAACTGCTCTTACTGCTATACACATCAGGATAGCTGTGAGAAACTAGCTGTGCAGGTGTAGTTAGTGTTACCAGACAGGAGACAGGACAGATGGGCAGCGGTGAAGGCAACACTCATCAGGATAGCTGTGAGATATGAACCTTTTCTTACTATACACATCAGGATAGCTGTGAGAAACTTCTTACTATCTTATACTTACTGCTATATGCATCAGGATAGCTGTGAGAAACTAGCTGTGCAGGTGTAGTTAGTGTTACCAGACAGGAGACAGGACAGATGGGCGGCTGTCAAGGCTACACTCATCAGGATAGCTGTAAGTTAAACTGCTTTTACTGTACTATACATCAGGATAGCTGTAAGTTAAACTGCTCTTACTGTACTACACATCAGGATAGCTGTAAGTTAAACTGCTCTTACTGTACTATACATCGGGATAGCTGTGAGAAACTTACTGTTATGTACATCAGGATAGCTGTGAGAAACTAGCTGTGCAGGTGTAGTTAGTGTTACCAGACAGGAGACAGGACAGATGGGCGGCCGTGAAGGCTACGCTCATCAGGATAGCTGTGAGATATGAACCTTTTCTTACTGCTATATACATCAGGATAGCTGTGAGATATGAACCTTTTCTTACTGCTATATACATCAGGATAGCTGTGAGAAACTAGCTGTGCAGGTGTAGTTAGTGTTATCAGACAGGAGACAGGACAGATGGGCAGCAGTGAAGGCTACGCTCATCAGGATAGCTGTGAGAAACTTCTTACTATCTTATACTTACTGCTATATACATCAGGATAGCTGTGAGAAACTAGCTGTGCAGGTGTAGTTAGTGTTACCAGACAGAAGACAGGACAGATGGGCAGCTGTGAAGGCAACACTCATCAGGATAGCTGTGAGATATAAGCCTTTTCTTACTATATACATCAGGATAGCTGTTTTTACAATTAAAATGTTCTGTATCCATATGCCATACTCTTATGGTATCCCTTACTGTAACCTGCATCCAGTTACAAAAAGTGGCAAATTGCTTTGATTGACATGTCAGAAATGATTGACAGCAATGATTGACACCTGATAGCTGATGACAGCAGTGATTGACACCTGACAGCTGATAACAGCAATGATTGACACATGAGCTCTGATTGACACCTGTCTGTCTGTCTGTCCCCCAGGGTTTTTTCCCGAAGCACATCCAGGTAGTCCTGGTGCTGAGACCGACGGGGTTCTTCCAGCGGACCTTCTCAGATATTGGGTTCAAGTTCGTACGGGAAGACTTCCGGCTGAAGGTACCGGTAAGATTTGGTTGCTGCTTCTGCTGCTTCCTGTGGCTCCAACCTGCTTCCCTACTTCTGCTGAAGGTTATAATATAACTAACAATCATCAATCAACAATAACTCCCCTACTCCTGCTGAAGGGTAGAACTAACTCCAACAGTTAACAATAACTACTGCAGGATAGACTAACTCCAACAATCAACAATAGAGTCTAACTCATAAATAATGGACAGGTTCAATCGCAAACGAAAACAGTTACTCAAGCAACTAGATAGATTTTGAAAACTGTCAGACATTTCTGAATAAAGACGTGTTTGTTTCTGCTAGTCAGTAATGAAAAGTAGTGGATGCTTGAAATGTGACAGTTTTCAAAATCTATCCAGTTTCTTGAATAACTGTTTTCTTGTGTATCTAATTCCCCGGATCTCTAACCTTCATTGACACATAGTGTAACCAGCCTTCCTAACTAGTTCAGCAATGATCATCCTGATTAACCAATAACAACCATCGACCAATCCCTGATCTTTGCCAACGTTTAACATTCCTCAAATTATCCTGACCTTGATCTGAAACTTGACCTTGATCAGTAACATTCTGTTTGACTTTTCGACCTTGCTCTGCTGCAGCTCTTAGCTTGCAAAGATTTTAGCCATGTTTGGAACTAACTAACTAACTAACAAACTAACCCTTTCTTACAAAACCTTATCAAAATCTATCGTAGAGTTTTAGTCAATACAAAGCCAGAGAAAGTCGGTTTTGAGAAAAAATATTTGATTTATGACAAATCTCTGTCTGCTCTGCCTCTGGAATCTAGTCCAAAAAGAGTACATCAAATATCTGTAATCAATGTCTACTGGTATAAAATTTTGATACAATAATATCATCATGATTGTCTGAAACTAGTCTTAGAATTTGCCATATAAACAGTCATAAATGCACATACATCATAGAGAACCCCCACAAACCATCTACTGATACTAAGGACAAGCTCACAGATGGCACAAAATTGGGCCCCACACTGATGTTGACCTCTGCCCTCTACCCTTTGCCCTCTGACCCCTGCCCTTTGCCCCTGCACAGATGGTGATGCTGAACTCTGTGAGCGAGCTGCACGAGCACCTGGACAGGTCACAGCTGACGGAGGAGCTCGGAGGGTTCATCCGCTACGAACACCACGACTGGATCGAGCAGAGATCGGTTAGTTAACTTACTTATTAACTAACTAAATAACCCAGACACGAACACCACGACTGGATCGAGCAGAGATCGGTTAGTTAACTTACTTATTAACTTACTAATCACCACAACTGGATCGAGCAGAGATCGGTTAGTTAACTAACTTATTAACTAACTAAATAACCCAGACACGAACACCACGACTGGATCGAGCAGAGATCGGTTAGTTAACTAACTTATTAACTTACTAACTAACATCTGTAACCAAGACATGAACACCATGACTGGATCGAGCAGAGATCGGTTAGTTAACTAACTTATTAACTTACTAATCACCACAACTGGATCGAGCAGAGATCGGTTAGTTAACTAACTTATTAACTTAGTAACCACCATGACTGGATCAAACAGAGATTGGTTAGTTAACTAACTTATTAACTTAATTACTAACTAAATAACCCAGACACAAACACCACGACTGGATCGAACAGAGATCGGTTAGTTAACTATGTCATTAACTTCCTAACTAACTAAATAACCCAGACACAAACACCACGACTGGATCGAGCACAGATCGGTTAGTTAACTAACTTATTAACTAACTAACCACCATGACTGGATCGAACAGAGATCAGTTATTAACCACACGCAGCTTGTACTTACTGTACAAAACTGGTGTGCTTTGCCTTAAGATGGTTTATCACTTATGCGAAACAAACCAACGAACAATGCCTTTCCTTGTTGTCCTCAGGCGATAGAGAAGTTTGCGAAGATGTTATGCTGCTTGTACTTACTGTACAAAACTGTTACGTTATGCCTAAGGGTGGTTTATTGGTTATGCAAGACAAATCAACAAACGATGCCTTTCCTTGTCGTCCCCAGGCGATCGAGAAGTTTGCATCGAACACCCACGACATCGCGAAGACGCTACAGCAGCTCGTACTTACTGTACACAACTGTTATGCCCAAAGGTGGTTATGCGAAACAAACAAACAATGCCTTTCCTTGTTGTCCCCAGGCGATAGAGAAGTTTGCGTCGAACACCCACGACATTGCAAAGACACTGCAGCAGCTTGTACTTACTGTACACAACTGTTGTGTTATGCCTAAAGATGTAAATGGCCTCCTTCACCCCTCTCTTCACCTATTCTTGTCCCCCCCAGGCGATCGAGAAGTTTGCATCGAACACCCACGACATCGCGAAGACGCTACAGCAGCTCGGCACAGAGCTGGCCGAGACGGAACTTCCCAACGACATCGTCACGACAGAATCTCTGCTGGAGCAGCAGAGGAAACAGAAGGAGGAGATTAAGGTGGGTTTTCTCCTCACTTCTGTCAGACACTGGGACATAACCAGT